TTGAGCTGAAATCAGCTATCAACAACGCAGAAAAGTGCCACCAAGAGGAAAGGCAGGGAACTGAACCCACACGTCTCTCCGTATATCCTGAAGGGCGGAAAGCCATATACCGCCCAGCCTATGGAGAGAAGACTGCTATAGGACGCCCATCAACATGGGGTCAAAGGTTTGTACCTGTACCACCCTGGTTGTCCAGATAATATAGTAGACAGCTAACGTCTGGCTTGCCGGTGGCACGGTTGCAATGGAATATGGTTGAGGTAGAAACCTTCTAGTGCACCATACAATCAAGGGTACAGTCGAAGCTCCCAAGATCCTATCCCAGAGTCACCCCGCTAGATTCAGACTTTGTTGTCCGCGACAGGCTTGTAGCTAAAGGATGCAGAAATAGGATTGGACAGTCCTATATCCGAACTGAGCCATCTTTAACAATCCTTTTGTCCCAATCCATAGCCTGGAGACAGAAATTAGTACATGCCTTCCAGGGATACTAGCGGGTCTCTAACATTACAGTCCAGGTGTTCGCATATACATTTGATACAGGCCAGTAGTCCACGAATACAACATACCCTCAACCTCATGGACAATAGGGGTCCCTAGCTGGACTCCATCATGCTGCCATGTTGTCACTAAGTAATGCTCCCTTCGCTTACATCGAACGTATATGCCCACAGCTGAACTGTAATGTCTTCAAACACCCCTTTCCCTGCTAGGTACCTGGTGTATCGTAGCGTATGTATGTTATGTGTGTGTGTGTATCCCTTTTGACGTCCACAGACAGTCCACAAAGTGGATAGTAGGTCCAAGCGAGACCAAAGCCTTGCGAGTACGTGTTGGGCTCGGTCATATATGGAAGTTGAACTGCCCTATAGTAACTCTAGGTCAGCTCATGAACTGAATACTTTGAATGGTCCGTTTAGTGGCTTCTCACAAGTGTCTGAACATCATTGATGTCATTGGAAAGGAGGTTTCAATTAGCTGTTTGTCTTCTTCAGAGTGTTCGAGATAATTCCCAAGGGAGGCCCTACCATTGTCGTTTTGTTTGCTCTGCGGTTTCATCGGCAGGGCACCTCAGCGGTCTTGTCATCCGGTTCGCGAATACTATATTGATCCGTCAGTTTGACGATACTTCCGGGGTTCCTGTTTGGCCTTCAGGACTCGCACAAGATTGGGAGAAAGGACAAAAGTGTTGATGGGGAAATTAGGTGCATAGTCCTCGATGTCTAGACAAGAACACCTGACCTGGGTCTAGTAGACTGTGTCGAGGCTCCCTGGATTCTGACAACTGCTTTCAGGGACAACAGTTGCTAGTAATATATCACCAGTTCATAACCAGGAGGATCAGTAACTTGATGCTCGGCAAAAATTGCGACTGCTTTGGCTCCGGGCCGACTGGCACAGGCAGGCATATAGTGTTCAGCCTTCTTACCTTAGGTAAACAGAGAGACCTCGGTTTAGTATCAACAAGTCCTCATCGACTTGTCATGTCGATCCATGGATTCTGCTGGCTCTCAGGCTGAGTTTGTTGGAATGAATACTGCCGTCGAAGTTGTTCTTGGTCCCGAATCCTGGATACGCCAGCGTAGGAGGGTCGAAGTATCCGAGCTCTTCAGAGACGATGTCCCGCCGCGGTTCATTCTGCATGATCTACGTTTATGGCCGCTCTCGAACGTGTTTGGAGGGCCGCTGTTGCCAATGGCAACCCTGTTCGCAACGAATCTACGCCCACGGCACCCTGAATAACGTCATTAAACGGGCCCAAGGGCTGCCACTGTGCTTCCCCACGGTCTTCAGCCACACCTGATCGCGGGTCCTTTTGGTATGGTTCGCCGCGGCGTGTTCCTGTTTGGGAAGCACGTAAATCCCGGTACATAGCTTGACTAGGAATCCTAAGCTTAGAGTGATGTACCTGCATTAAGATACTGCCTGGGAAGAGAATCAGATCTAGAATTGCTCCTGAATAGCACCTGGTGACAGGTGTTCCAGCCCTGCCGGCAGGGTCCTCATGACCCCGGCGACGTAGATCGAGAAACAGAAGCACGCTTTTGACCATTACCACGTCGTAGGCGATCTGCTCGACTTACTACCTGGTCTATCATTGCTTTCTTGCCTGCTTACCTGTTGTCGTACAGCTGCTTTTATCAAGAGCATACCTACCTTTTGTCAACCTTACCGCCACTACTACTAGCAGTCTTGCAGTTCTATCGTGAGCATACCTGACCTGATCGGAGACAACGACTGACTTAGTATCAAAACAACTAACATGCCGGCGCAGTTCTATCATCGGCTACCGCGATCGGTTCTTCTTTCTCGCGGTATAAAACCGTCGAAATTCTTGCCCAGGTGAGTCTCAACTTCATCAAAATCGCTACCGGATTATCTCGACTAGTACCACTGACCTCCTTGACGAACTAGGACAGATAACCATCACATCGATAGCTTTCCTTTCTCTCTCCCATCAACACGATGGACAACGTCAAGTTGCCGGGGGCATACCCATCCTCCTACTCGTCCGGGATCTTTGATGGTGCCGGAGATGGCATGGACAATACCAACTTTGAGGTAGGTAACCATGCCGGCGAGGGCGCTGCCGCCCAGGAGAACCCCATGATCTTGCCCCCTCCAGCTAATCAGCATGCTGCTCTTCCTCAGGGCGACGATTTCCTCGACCCGAGCTTTATTGACCCGCCACTATTCGAAGAGCTCGCCAACGGGCAGGCTGAGGGGGACCAGGGCCTGGTCAATGACCAGACCATGGACGGGGCTAAGAATGATATGGATCTCCCACAGGGGGATCTTCCCAGCCCCTCGATGTTTCTGCCGGAGGACTCTCCCGAGGTGGCCAACCCTGAGCCCCCTCAGCCTCTGCTTGCTAGACCTCCGATGGAGGAGTTATTGCGGCAAAAAGACCACGTATATACGGGTCTAATAGCTAACATCGATGACTGGCGCCGGGCTGCAACAGACTATATCGCCTTCAATGACAAGAAGGGAAAGGCGGCCGGCCAAACGGCTGAGGACTTCCCCGAGGATGATGAATCCAGACGGGCCCTCGTCCGGGAGCTCTTTGAGGCAATCGTCGACTTTTCCGACGTTGCCGATGGTCCCAAGCCGGCAGCGTCACGGGCGCGCCGAGCTTCTGCGGCCGGTCATGAAGACGAGGGAGAGGACCCCCAACTCCTGGGTGACGGGCCGAATCTCGAGAACGGAGAAGAGGAAGCTGATGAAGGCGAAGACGGCGAGGACCACGAACCGCAACCCGCACCAACCGCACGAGGTCAGGCTCGCAAAGAGCCGCCTCATATTACACGGGTAAAGGCTCTATCCAACTTCGAGGTAGAGCTCATCGCATTCGACCTCCTCTTACATATTTACCGCGCCCAGAATGGCGTGATCAGCATTGCAAACTGGATGCCGGCACGCCTCGTGGGCCGGTATGAAAAGTGTCGCAATTTCCGCGAAAGGTTCGACATCGTCAAAGAGGGGGTTCGGCGATACAAACTCATTGTCAGCAGTCTTATGGACACCCCTTACATAAACCGTCTCGCGATGTGTCCGCGCCGAGAGACACGAGTAAAGGCATCGAATAAAATTTCGAATGCCCAAAAGACGGAGAGGGTCAAACTTGCCAACGAAATGTTGAGCAAGGGCCTTGCGAAGACTACCGGTACCGGTAGTCTAGAGCTCTCCAATGCTCTTAACCTGAGCGCCGCAAATAGGGCTCCGGATTTCGAGGATGAGGAGGAGGAGGGCGGGACTGGCCGCAGGAGACCAGATCCCCCGGCCAGAGATGCTCCCGTCCAGGCTGCAAGCACCAAAGGGACTAAGCGTAAGCGGTCCCAGGGCTGAATGAAGCCCCCTAGCGGCAGCGGAGGCGGGACACGCGAGGAGGAGGAGGAGGAGGAGGAGGAGAAGGAGGAGGAGATTAGATTGACCTTAGACGAGCGACTCATGCGTTTTTGATACCCCTTTCTGATACCCATTCATGATACCCCTTACATTTGATTCCCCCTTACATCATGAGCGCACTGTCGAGATTAGCATCAGAATGGAGAATGATATCTTTCGGACCGGACTGAAGCATAGGATAGATGCATGGTTATGGAGTATGGTGTCACTTAGACTGGAGTATACCTAGAAGGATGGGTTGCATGGACATGGAGTAAGGTACCTAATACTTAATACAGAACAAGAGTCATGTACACACCCTCTGTATTGACCGTTTCCCCCTTCCCCCTTTTCCCGACCCACCACGTGAGACTGCCAAAAGAGTTGTTGGAATATGTAGACGTAGTACCGTGACAGCTATGTACTTGCCGGTACCAGTAGCAGAGGTAGTTACTAGCTATCCCAGTAACATAGGGGCAAAGCCTTTTTGCTACTAACAGCGAATTAGCTCCCCACCCTGATAAAAACAGGAACCCCGATTGCTTGTTACAACCGAGGCATGGGGCCATTAGCCATATATACTCAACACACCCCAAGTATATACATGAATCCATTCCACACGTTGAGGTTATAGTACTTACCAGACCAACACCAACCTAAACGACAGGATCTTCCGGATCCCACTCCGCATCCATCACATCCACCCAAGACTTCCTCGCCTTGATCCCGTCGATACTGGCACCAGCAGTACCCCTCGCTTTACGAACCTCCGAGCTCTGCCTCGCATACTCCTCAACCTGTTCCCGTGTCAAAACACCAAGTACGGCCACGTATGCGGGCCTGGCTTCGTAGCGGACACCAGCTTTCTCAAGCACCTCCGGGGACACCAGCTTGCGATCAATCTCGGTTCACTTGGCGTTGAGCGGTATGCTCTGACCCCTGCTATCCGGGGCTAGGGAGCTGTCTTGCCGGGTTGGAGGTTCAGGTTGTTGCTGAGAAGTACTAGGACTATTGCGGGCCGTGGGAGTTGACGATGATAGGGCGGGGGGGTTCGAACGGGGCATCTAACTGTAGTGTAGAGATGCTGTGGGATGGACTAGTCCGCTTCCTTGGCTGCTCTTGTTGCATGTGAGGTTCAGGGGCGGACGTAGCCTTTCGCTTGGTCTTTGCCACGACGGGTTGGGTCGAGACTACCCACCCCTTTTCCAAAATGACCTTCTGCATCCCCCCGAGTGTCCTCTCCTCCAGCTTTGTCAGAGCGCCGAAGGGGATGCAAGCAATATCCCCCGTTGTCTGTCCGGTTCCAGGGATACCATGGCTGTTCGAGGCAAAAGGCAAAGGACCAGTGTCTGAACACCTCTCATGTTCCACAACAGTGAGCCATTGTCTCGGCTTGAGGGCTCTAGTCGCGAGATCACACCCTGGCCCGCCCCATGTCTCGACATCATGAGAAGGGACTTCAATCGCGTAAACCCGAGAGGCTTTCCTCATGGCGAGTTTCAAGCCGGCAGCTTTCTGGCAGATGGCCGAGACTTGAGCTTTGACTTTGATATGATTTCTGGATAAAGACGAAGCTAATCACCGGAGATAGCTCCTCGATGATTTCCTGCGTGACTCCTTCGACGTTGCGCTCCATGTGTATCAACGGACCCACGGCCTCGATCGTGGCGGCTACCCAGGATCTTATCGTTTTGCTGCTGACTAGAAACCGGAGAACGTCAGGTTCAACCTCAAAATCCTGCACTAAAAATCCAATCGATGACTTACCATGATGTGCTTCCATCTCCCTTTCCAAAGCTCGAAGACGGATCTCCGTTCTCCCGCTCAAATCTCTCTCGTCACTTCTCAGGAACGGCTGCAGGCCAAACGAGCGTATGCTGGGACGCAAACTCCTTCTAAAAAGCAGCTGAAAGATCCTAGCCATGACCCGGCACGTCCGCTGTCGAATGCTCAACCCGTTCCAAACACGGGGAGGACAAAAGCAGTCCACGTCGTCTGCCGGCCCGTCAGACAGCGGACCCAGCTGAACCGCCGAGCTTCTCACAAACTCCAAAACCGACATTCGAAGGCTAAGAAACGCAGCCCTGATAAGCTTGCTCCGCAACTTCCACGCCTGTGCTCTCAAACGCCTGCTTAGCGCGCACAAACATCTCCTGTTGGACCCTTCCAAGCTCTTTAGCACCGGCCTGAACTCGCGTAATCGAAACCTCGAGTTTCCGCTCCAGCTGCATGGATCCGTTTCGACTCTCGTGCCCTGAGCAACTCCCCAACCTCGACAAGGCGCTGCAAGTCCTTAACAGCGGTCTCAAGTCCTCGAATCTTCTCGGCATTATTCATATCCTCTCTATTCTCATCATCTCTTGAAGTTGCTCTGGAACCGATATGACGCTCAAGCTGTCGTTCCACGCTTTCGGCGACCTTCTGCGGCAAGGCGTCCACCTTCGCCGCCAGCCGCCTTACACTTTGTCCAACAGAGGCGACCTCGACCTTGAGAACTCCAACCTGTTTGTCCAAAATCCGGCCGGGTTTCTTCGGCAGGTTTGGCATCTAGCCCCCTTGAGGCTCGCCGCCGTTGGAGACCTGCCTCGAAGTTCCAGCTGTTACTTTGCGCCATTGCCCTGGAACTTGCTGCGGTCGACGAGGCTCGGCTCTTTGGATCCTCGTAGTATCCTTGAAGCCCCCACTCCTTGCTCACAAAGCTATGGCGAACTGGCCGTCAGCTTTGCAAGCCCAGAGGTGAAGGCGTCTTTGGGAAAGTAGGGTGACAAATTGATTGTGTGTTTACGCCCGTCCATTGAGTCTGTGAGGTGGATTGTGGTTTGCGAGTATGTAAGAAGGGACCGTCTGAGTAGGGGCGACCGTTTGAGTATGGGTTTTTGACAGGCTTGTCACCTTTGGTTGTTGTGGACAAAGGTCTCAAGGGAATGATACCATACCGAACTTGGTAAGAGGCCGGATCGCGGCATGTATGCATCAAAGGCTGGACGATATTGGTTCTTTGATGAACCTTGAATAGGAAGATGCCTAGACTAGAGCGGCTGAGTAGCGCATCAAACGGTTTCATCCTAGTAGCTGTAGGGTTGTAGATACATTTAGCTGTTCCGACATCATCATCTCCAATACCGGGTCCATACCTGGACCTGCTTCGTCTTCTGAGAGATCCCTATCTACTTCTCTATCTTCCCTTTGTCCACCGACGGGGCTTTGAGCCCCGAGTCATAATTCTTCCTCTTCCCCTTGGTTTTGGGGAGCACCGCTGGCGAGACGCTTGTCACCGTTTTGCTCGCTCGTTTTCTTCTGCGAGTCGCCACCCGTCGGCTGCTCGGAGTCACTGTCGAGGTCATCAAAGGAGCGTTTACCATTGACAGAAGCTGAACCGAGCCGGGGTCAGCATCAGGTCATGGCACGCTCCAATATAGGAGCATGGGGGGTGACCATTCTTACCATCACCGAATCTAAAGCCAATGAAGCGTTTGCATGTGTCCAAGCCGTTCCGAAGCACCTCGAGCTGTCTGTTCAGTTGCTCTCGCTCAATCCGTGTTTCCTCCGGCTCGCCAGCAATGCGAGAGACTTGATCGGTGGGCATCTGGTAGACCGACACGGGGTCCAAAATCTTATTCAAAGCCGACACTAGCTTGGCCTCGATGACTTCGACGGCCACATCGTCGATGAAGCGCTTCAAGGCAACCTTGTAATACGCGTTCAAACAATCCAAGGCGTCGATCGCGGCAGAACGCTTCACGTCTGGCTCCTTGCTTCCTATTAAGCGATCGGCGAGAAGTCGGAGATTGTAACCCCCCGCTAAATTATAATTGTTCATGAGGAATTGAACGCCAAATGTCTCGCACACAGTCTTTTCGATCTCCTTCCGTCTTCTCTCATGACGCAGTTCCTGGAGCTTCCGGGCAAAGTCATCGTTGTATGTGATAGGGTGGCCTTCCTGATGCGGGCGCAGCAACTCCTGGATTTTCTCGCGCATTTCTGCCAAGATGGCTTTCATTGCTGGCTCACAGACTTCATGAAGCAAAGATTTGGCCGTCGACGGATCGGCTGTATGTTCGAAGATGAGTTCGACAAAGTTCGAGGCGGCTTTCCAGACTTTGTCCACATGGCGGCGCGCGATTCCCTCCCATGGTTGCGACTGCTCCTTGAACAGGTCTGCCACTAACATTGGACTGAAGGTGCCAGGTAACTCACAACCTCGCGTTTTTTTCATTAACCGCTCGATCTGACTGATAAAGGTCTCTTCTTCAATCTTGATCGGCGCCTTGGTACCAGCCAACCCGGCGAGTGGCCCGTTCACGATCTCCCGGAAGTGGCCCTGGGTAGAGATTTCAGTCTCGAAATCTTCGTTGAGATTTTGGACAATGGCCCTGATGCGCTGTCGATAGCCTAGCTCGGTCTTGGCGTCTTGAAAGAAAGAATGGATGTAGTTGCCAGTTACAGACGACTTGACCAGCGTATGGAACGATTGACTGACTTGCATCAAGTAGAGTCGTTGCTCGTCTAAACTCGCTCTTGGGTCTCCGAACTCGTCCAACTGTTTTTTACAGATCTTGAACCTGTCACTGATTTCACGCATCAAGCTAGGAAGTGACGAAGCAATGTGACCCAGAAGGAGCTTGCTGAGACGGCTTCTCAACTTACCGACTCCGAGAGAGGACTGAGGCAGCGAGGTCCAGACCCCTGAGCTGAAGAACTCAGCTTCCTGCGCATCACGCTCAGAAAGGGTCCATGAGCCCTTCTCGGAGTCCATGTTTTTCACGACATGCCAGCCGTGGCGAAACGCAATCTCCTGGTTTCTAGCAAGGGCCACATACATGGCTTCGCTGCCGGAATCACGAGTCAACGTGTCGGGCTTCGTAATGATGCCCAAAGTCCGGACACCACTTTCGTCTGCCTCCCTAGCCAACTTCAGGACGATCTGGTTGGCGAAGTCATTCTTGGCCGACACCACGGCAAGGATGATGCAGCGCGACTCGATCATATAAGATTGAACTACGTCCTGGACGAGCTTGACATCGGCGCTCGACTGATGCCTGGTCTCGGATGGATGAGCCCCGGGAGATCGACGATGGTGAGATGAGGGCGGTCTGGCCCGGAGATTTCGATGCGGAGAATATCCTTTGCAAAGGCTCTGCCGTGGACTGTGATGCCCATCCTGGACTTCGCGTTTTCGACCAACTTTGGGAGCTCGTCAAATCCAGAGAGCTCCTCGCGAAACTCGCGAAGTGCTTCCTTTTCTGACTCAGTGCGAGATTCATGGGGAACGATGGAGACGCGGGCGCTTCTTTGCGTGTTTCTGCGCAGGACCAGCTCGGTAGGGAAACGCGTGCACAGGTTGCTCTTGATGGGGAACGAAACACCCGAGATGGGTTCCAGTACCGAACTCTTGCCAGATGACTAGTCGCCGCAGACGATAATCTGCGGCAACGAGATATAGTTGCTGAGGCCCTGCAGCCGGAGTTGATTGATTGCGTCCAAGAGCGCTAGCTGGTCTTTGGAGCACAGCTTGCTCAGGGCGTCATCTGCGGTTGTCACCATTGTTGAACAACTAGGTAGAAGAACTCAAAAAGATATCAAGGTTCTGCTGGCAAGCCGATGAGAGGATCCGTTGATGTGGCGTTGATTCAACTTGCTTGACTGAGGTGGAAAGACTTTGAGTACCTTATTCTCGATGAGTTAAGTTGCTCGTCCTGTCAGGTCAAACGGCCTTCGGGAAGACACATGAAACTCCAAACAGTCAATGAAAGTGATGAACGAAGAAGCAGATGGAAGATCTTTCCTAAAATGAATGTGCCAGCCTTGGTGGACCAGGAACCCGAGTACTCCCTGTAGGCTGCAAACGCCAGGAGAAAGCGGGTCCTGTAATTTTTGATAGTACTGGGCCTTCCCAGCGCGCGACAGCTGCTATTGAGTTCCAAATCTCCCTTATGTATCGGCCTATATATGGCATGCGCGTGCCGGCAAACCATATGTATATAGGTAATCTAACCTGTAGAATCTGAATCTACAGTCGGATTGATAACGCGTATAGTGCGCGTAGAGATATTGATGAGGCTTGTTTCTTACAGGATTTCATAGAATTTCAAAAATCTTTCAGCAAAAATTTCACAATTCTTAGCAAATGCTTGGCAAAAAGACAGAACGAATGGCCATTTCAATGTCATCAATATACCCACGCGTATTGCGCGCGCCATCAATCCGACTGTAGATTCAGATTCTACAGGTTAGATTACCTATATATATATATAGTTTTCTCGAACGCGCATGCTATATATAGGGCAATATATTGAGGAGAGTTTTGGGCTCAACGTTAGTTGTTGCACGCTCACTAGGCACCCTACTATCCCCCTAGGACCCGTTTTCTCCTATCGTTTGTAGCTATTTGTGGCGAATCTCGGTCCCCTACCACTGAAAGGGACTCCTCAGACTGAAGGTTGACTTGAACGGGGTGAGGTTCGGTAGAGCCAAAGGGTCTACAACAAGTGCACAAGCAAGTGTTCACACAGTAGTAAAGATAACTGCTTGCATTGCTTACTGGAGAACCTTCTGAGGGTCCTCCTAACGAGTGACTATCTAGCTAGTATTTATAATCCTTGTTTCACCATGCCCTGGCGACTATCACCAGTGACTGTCCTGTATTCACTGTTGATACTCCGTTGTCGACAGTGACTTCCCATTATCACCAGTGACGGCTTGATCTTGGCAGTGATAATCCTCTGATTGGTCCGTTGAATGATTGGTCGCCAGTCGTCCCGCGGACCCGGCTGCAGCCCCTCAGGCCGCCAACAATGGTCATTCCATGACATGGAAATACCACCCCTAGGCACAGACCACGAAGTGGCCTGTGACGTCGGAAATTACTGCTCCTACGCGCCCACCAGGATAAATTGGCTCTGGAGAGCTCCTGAGATTCAGGATAACTTTGAACAACAATTGATCAATCAATCTTGAAGGCAACCACCAAGAATTCCATCACCACTGGCCAATTCGCCCAGGATTCGTGCCTCACTGCTGTATTTCCAACAGCAGCCTACAGCCGTGAACGTTTGGAAAAAGCGAAATTAAAGACACGCTAATTGACTAGCGCTAGTTTATCGCAGAGCGCTGCGATAAACTAAGGTACCTAGCGCTCCACTGTCATCTCTGCCCAAACCACTCGACGTCTCACTCATGGAAATTCTTTCCAGTCAAGCTGCTAGCCAGTCCATGGTCTCACGCAGCGTGCGAGATTCCAAGCGCGATTAGGGGCCTTTTGAGCCTTGTTGATCAACCAGTTACGACTGCGCAGAATCCTAGGTGCTGCTAAGTTACTGCTTATATTCGCCCTTGGCTGTCCGCTCGCACACCTCCTTCAGCGTCTTTCCCGCCCACTCAAAGTCATCCATCTCCAAATACACTTGGGCGCTCAATCGTGCCCACCAGCGGCCGCCGTACGCATACAACGCGACGAACGTCTTGTACTCGTCCATCAGTGTTTCCAAAAACCATTTCATCGCTGCCGCCGTCTCACTCTGAGGAATCGCAGGCAATGCAGCCAGCTCGCCCTCGAGAGGCGGCTTGCCCTCCTCAGGCCCAACCGCCAGAGGAAGGGCGACATTAACCATTGAGCACCGCGTGAGCGACTGCGAGCCATTGTCAAGAATCTTGGTCCCGAGGATCTCAGCCGCCTTCTTCCCGCCGCTCCGCGCCAACTGGGTCAGCTCCTCGCGAATCCGCTGCTCGCCGCCGAGCACCTCCGCCCGCCACGCAATGCTGTGCTTGACGCACAGGTAGGGCGCGTCGTCCATGGTGCCCACAAACTCAAAATTGGTCACAAATTGCGACTTCTGGGACTGCGGCAGCGGGTTATGCCCCACCGTCTTGGGGCCCTTGGGCACGAAGCCGTGCGACGTCGGCAGCGTTGAGCGCATCAGCGGCTGGTTGCGCAGTGGCACGTAAAAGACGGCGCATCCACGCGGCACGTGCAGCCACTTGTGGCAGTTGCTGACAAAGAAGTCAGGGTCGACGGCGCCGAGGTCCAGGTCGACCATGCCGATGCCCTGCGCGCCGTCGATCAGCGACAGGATCCCGGCCTCTCTGCACGCCGCGGTGATGGCCTCGAACGGGAAACGGACTGCGGGAAGGGACGAGACGACGTCGAAAAGGCACAGCCGGGGCCGCTTGCCCGCGTCGATGGAAGCCTTGACGCCGGCGTGGAAGGCTGCCACGACCTCGTCGTCTTCGCACGGGTAGGACAGTGTGATGCAGCGTGAGGATACCGCGCCCTGGCGGTCTTCGACAACGTAGTCGATGGTCCTGGCGCAGCCGCCATAGATGGTGTCGAAGAAGAGGATCTCATCCTTGCCGTCCGCGTTCCAGACAATGTTGCGGAGGACCGTGTTGACGCCGATTGTGGCGTTGTTCACAAACACGACGGTGGCGGTGGGTACCCGTAGGAGCTCGGCAACTGCTGCTCGCGACTCATCGAGTAGGTCGCGCCGCTTGTAGCGGATGAAGGGGTCCGGCATGGCCTCGGCGCGGTCTTGGAATTCGCGCAACTTGGCCTGGATGGCGCGGGGAATGGTCCCGTAAGAACCTGTCGGTGTTAGTAGGCTGATCCAGGAGATAGGGCAATCGACACGAACCATGATTCAGGTTGCGGTACGACGGGTCGAAGAGGAAGTGCTGCTCCCTCAATTCCTTGCCGAACTTCACCGGCTCGCTGGTCCCGGAGGCGTCCTGCGCTCTAACAGGGAGGTCGAAAGTTGTGGACCCCATTGTTGTTTGTTGTTACTTGCGTGGATGACCCAAATGATGGCGCCGACTCGGAGAGATGCGCTACGCCACGGCACATTTATACCACGGACTGCCAGTGCATTTTCAATCACTCGATGAGTCACGGGCATCCCAGCATGCGATAGACTTATGTACTCCACCTCATGAGGGCCACGAATCTCCACGATCCGCTCTGTCTCCGCACTACCTGCGTGCCAAGATTGCTTGTACGGCCGAGAGTCTGTGTCATGGATAGGGCGTGCTTAGTGCAGCCGATGGTGGTAGTACCGTCTAATCTGCGCAGAAGAATACGAGCCAGAGGAATATCCTTTTATATGAACATCAAATTGCAGATACCGAGCCAGTTCGTTATGGGAATTAGGAATAAGCCACGTCCTGGATTTACTCTAATGAATCTGCCTAGGACTGTATCCATATGAAGGTAGGTGTTCTTATCGCTACCTGTGTTACCTAGGTACAAGCTACCTAACTAAGCCCCTGAAAAAGATGCCAACCTAATGTGGTAGGTATTTTACACAGGTACAGGAACTGGAGGTAGTAGTAGTACTGGATTGCGGGCTCGGCATTGGTTGGAACGTATGCAGTCTCGAAACCGTCGTAGTCGTAGGTAGCCCGTCTCCGAGACCTAGTATTAGACAAAGAACCTAACTGAAGCCACGCGTGAAACTGAGGGAAAGGAGATTGGACAATACCCGGGCAGGCTGTACCAGGCAGGGGAAGGATACTGGCATTAATAGCATACCTCACTAATGGTGGTCTTTACTTCATGATCTGAGAGTTGCTACTAGTAGGTGGCCATCATCGCCAGATATTATGGATGCAATTGCCTGCAACCTCAAGGACATTGTACTAAGCTCAAGCTTAATCAAGACTCCCCTACCATTGGAAAACCTGAAGTATGGCTACCTACGGAGGTACTTAGGCAGGCTGATCCTAGTGAGCCGGCGCGGTGTCTCGACTTGTAAGTACCTTAATCTTATGTAGGTACATAGCTAGGCAGATGGAAAAGCTGTCATTGAGATGACTTGGTTATAACATGTACGATCGAAATGCTGTCTCTTCCTCAGTTGCCTGAAAAGAAGGGCGGACTCCACGATTGTTATTGTATAGGGTAGTCCTTGGCAATCTCAAAACTGCGCACAGGAGTAGCTCTGGTGCCATGAGTCGCAATAGGAAAGGAGCTGAACGACAAAGGCTACCCCTGTACAGCCTGTGAAACCCTCCCTTATCCAGCTCTGCTCAGAGCAGCCCTTCTGGACGTACTATTGGGGTCGAAATACGGCCTCTCCCCCAAACCCACCGCCCGGTTCCCAAACCGTTCACCATAGCTTCCATCAAGGTAGTCAAAGGTGGCCGTGTGGAACACGGACCGGTTATCCCAAATAGCTATCGAATAGGGAACGCCGATCAGCTTTCATGTCGAACGCGATGGGAACAATGGAATCAACTCAAAAGCACAACTCACCAATATCATTCGGATTCTTCCACTTGAACCTAACCTGCAAGTCATGGTTCCTGTAGACCAGATCCAGGAACCAACCAAGCAGCTTGCCACTCTCCTCTTCGGTCAAACCGTTGATGTGCTTGACGTGACCGCCCACGGGGAAGATGCTCTTCCACCCCGTCACCGGGTTGGTGCGGACCACGGGGTGGACAGCCCTGAGCTCGGTGCCGACGTTCTCAGGCGCGCCCCGTGGCTTGTCGTACATCTTAAAGCCGGACTGTTGGGCAATCTTCTGGAAGCCGGGCTGCTCAAAGGTGACGGTGAGAGTTTCGAGAAACTTTTGGTACGGCTCGCTGATGCGGTCGTAGAGTTCGTACCCCGACGCCCAAAGGGTGTCTTACGAGGTTTCAGTCAGCAGAGGAACCAAACTCGAAGTTGCTTGTCGTGATGGGTATACAATTTCTTACCTCCTCCCGTAGTAGGGAGCTGGACGAGACGGAGGGACGTGTAGTCCGCCGGGACTGGCTCAAAGGCAATGTCGCTGTGCCACTGGGCACTGCTTTGGTTCTTGGGGCTAAGCGTGTCTGGCGCCACTCGCGAGTAAAACTGCTTGTTCTGGATGGAGCTGATGGTACTAATCTCGGGATCGTCACCGCCAAGCTCGCGCTCCGAGTTGAGGATGGGGTGGATGTGGAGGCCCGAGGTTGCTGGCCGTCCCGTGAGCTCACCCAGACGCAGGATCAGTTTCTTCTGGAGTTCATTGGTGAGACCATCCTGAGCCCGGAAAAATACCACACCGCGTTGGGAGACTGCTCTCGTCAGCTTGACTGTTAGAGTAATAGGGGTAATAGGACTCACTAGTGATTGCCAAGTCCCTGAGTAGCTCATCGGAGTTGGGCGCTTCCAGCCACTCAACGAGCTTAGCCGTGGGGAACTCACGGCCAATGATCGGAGTGACGTCAAAGGACTCATACGAGTCGAGAGCCCCGGATAATCGGAGAGGTGAACGGACTACCCCCTTGGTGCTGATTGGCAGGTCAGAGTCGATTGCTGAAGGGGCCATTGTGTTGGTGGTGCAGTATCTGGGACTGGATTCGGCGAGTATTGAGAAGAGAAGGCTTACAGTCTGGGAGACGCTCTGCTTGATCATGTTAGTGACGGCTCCGAGGTGAGTCTTTATCACATTTATGTGCAGCGGGGTTGGTGTTTGCTCATAACAGGGGTTAGAAGACGTATTCAGATCAGCAGACTGTTTCGATGATACTAGTAGCTTTCTCTTCACCCCGCGTCCTCTTAGTGATGTTACATTAAGATACCAAGAGTGTGAGTCGTGGTTATAGGCCTGATTGGGAGCATCAAATCAGGATTGTTGAACAGGATGACGAATTATCGATAGTGTATTCCGCAATCCTCCTTAGTTGCACGTATCTGATGTGACGAGTGGATCGAAGGATAGCTTTATGACTTTCCAACGGCGTAGCCTATTTCATTATCTGTGGTAACGAACACTGCATTGCTTCATGGAGGAGGCGACAGTAGAATTGTTGTTGAGAATCAGGGAGGCATGGCCGGGACAAAATCTCAGAGCGGAGACAATCACTCCCAGAACCGCTCACAAGGTTGTCAGACCCCGAATCCCCATGCGGGAATACTGCCGGGTGATTCTTTATGCCACAATACCCTTTGCTGGCAACCGCGGGGAAACCTCTGTCTTCGCGCTCAGTCTTGTATCGTCTAAGACAAACAACGAGCCTCATGGCCCTCGTCTATGTTTATTCGGAATGATGAAAGATCCCAGAAAGATCGAGTCGGTAATATCAGCATCATGCTGTCGCTAAACAACCGCAATCTCGACAGGTACCTAGGAATCTCCGTCAGGCATCCAACTTATAAACTCCATCATCTATGCTGTGTGGTACTCACTCCAAACTCTTGAAGCCAGATAAACAGGCTGTGTCGAAGGTGTTGAAGAACCTCTCTATGAACTTCGTCTACCTAGTTAGACGCAAGAGCGACCCCTCGGCGTTTGCACAGGGTAATTGTTGAGCTGTAACACTTCCGAAACAGGAAGGAAAAGAAGGAGAGGAATGTCATGGCCCATAAGAGACGTGGAAGAATGCGGTAACATCCAACAGAAAGATACTAATATGAAAAGAAACCAGAATAAGTGCTGCAGGCTCAAACCCGAATGGCTCGTATGTGTACTGCTGCTCTGGATCTTGGAGCCGGGACACGGGAAACAACGAGCTTGGCCGCTCAATCGGAGAACGGCTCGAGGCGGGGTTCTGCTACAGTCCCGTCGCAGTACTCGAACTTCGGCAGCAGCCGGGCTTGCAGGATAACCGTAAATTATCAGAACCACCGTTGCTGAGAATCAGGAGAACATCTTACTGTCGAGCAGCCGAAGTTCGAATTTGGATGTTTGTGGTTGGGCTGGTCAGGTCAGCCACATGTAGGATGGTCAGATCACCCACAGGGTCATGGTCAGGTCAGCAATACGGGTAGGCGCTGAAAAGTAAGGTAGTGGACATGTGTAAATGTCTTGCTGATTCAGCCTGGAAGTGGCCTCAAGTTTCAGATTCCGAGTATCCCGCAAGAAAATATCAGTTTTCCGCCCGATACCTAGGGAGGTATTTCGTTCGTCGTCAACGTTGCCTCGAGGTTGGTCAGATCAGCCACATGTGCCTTGGTCAGATCCGCCACAGGGGTTGGTCAGGTCAGGTTGCTGCCCCGCAATGCGCAATGCGGGGCAATTGCTGATGGAGCTGGGGAAGACCCCTTTGGTCGCAATCTCCAAGTTCGTCATCTTGTGAATGCGGAACCCGAGAAACAATGGCACCAAAGTTTCCGCAATTGAGACGTCAACGAGTTAGCACCAACTCTCTGGCTCGCTTCTCGAGTCTAGGACAAGCCTGGACCACATGAGCAAGCCCGGCGCAGGATTGGTGAAAAGGCTAAACTGGGTCACCCACGTTCCCCACCGCCGTCCTTCGGCTGTGTCTGCCCCATTTTTTATCCCGCAACTTGTACTCGCCCGCCCGCTTCTCGGCGGCGGCGTGTCCCGCCACTCCACCTGGACAGGTCGAACAGGTCGCGCGTCATTTTCCAAGCCGTCGGCCCATATCTCTCGCCTTCGCCCAACGGGAATCGCGCGATCGCCACGAAACGCACGCACAATGGCCACGTCGTCAACAACGACTCCGGCCGCCGCCGCCGCCATCTCACCCGACGAGCAAGCCCGACTAGTCGAAACCTCCAAGCGCCTGGCCGCCTTCCAGGCCGTCAAGGACTACCTCCTTCCCACATACACGCGGATCGGCATCGGCTCCGGCAGCACCGTGGTGTACGTCGTCGAAGCGATCCGCGAGCTGGGCCCGGCCGTCACGTCCAAAATGGCCTTTTACCCGACCGGCGCGCAATCCGAAGAGCTGATCGAAACCGCCGGTTTGACCCTACAATCCATCAACAAGCTTCCCCCCGGGCAGATGCTGGACGTGGCCTTTGACGGCGCAGACGAGGTGGACGACGAGCTGAACCTGATCAAGGGCGGCGGGGCGTGTCTGTGGCAGGAGAAGATTGTCGCCGCCAGCGCGAGGCTGTTTGTCTGTGTTGCTGATTTTCGAAAGCTTTCGCCGCGTTTGGGGACGAATTGGAAGAAGGGGATTCCCATTGAGGTGCTGCCAATGGCTGCGCCTAGGGTGCTGCATGAGCTGAAGCTGTTGGGATCCATGAACCCGCTTGTCCGCCCCGGGCTGCCGGGTAAGGCGGGGGCTGTGGTTACGGATAATGGCATGTGGATTATTGATGCGCCGTTCAAGCCGCTTCAGCTTAACAGCGACGGGATAGTCAGCGGGGTCAATGGAGTGTACACGGTTGACGATCTGGCCGAGAGGCTAATCAAGATTCCCGGTGTGGCAGAGATTGGGTTGTTTTACGGCGACCACGGCCTTCAGATCGCCAGCGGTGCCCAGAAGCCCGTAGCCGCGTATTTCGGGATGGCAGACGGCACGGTACAGGTGGCTAAGGCTCCAGGCGTTGAATGAGGCACGCGGCCGGTCGACGTTGCGAGGATGGAGATGGTTTCCTTGGTTGACCTCGTCGGCCTTTGCAGCTCGACCTGAGGTTAACACTGGACTTTGACCTGGATATCCATCATGGGATTGTTGCCCCGTTCGGTGGTGGTTGGGTTGCGCGTGCTGGATCACCGTGTGGCATTTCATGAGAAGCCTTGTTTCTCTCTCCAGTTGTTCCCGCTGCGAGATTGGGGCCTGGCTGCTTCCACCATGCATCTGGCGGGGCCGGTTATGTAGAACCACAGTCACAGTAGGCAACGATAGGCAACGAGCTGCGTCAGACGCTTTGGGCCATGAAACCATGGACTCGCCGCGCCATTATTGTCGTCATAATGTCACTGAGGAAGGAGAACCTTAGCATCGGTACCCTGCTGTTCCATTGCGAGTGCACGTTTGCGGATCAGACGTACGCCGCAGATGATGTTTGTACTGTACCCGTCTTATTGCAGTCATGTTGAGAGCATCAATTCTGCGAAATCGGTCTACGGAATACATCGTTTCCGGCAGACACTTGTCCTTCAACTTCATAACTGAGCGGATGTTCTCCCTGTCCAACTCCAACTCGTTGTGCAATCTCAAATCATGCGAGGACATGACCGACGTGGGAAGGATCTTTCGGTGGGGTGCAAAGCATTTGGTACTTACGCAAGTGACAACCCTCTGAGACGTTCTTGTCCATGGGCACCGGTGGAGATGTCTGCTTAAAACACCCGAACCGTCTCTCGGTACTGTACATGACGCCTTGCGCAGCAGTTGCGCTTTCCCTCTCGAGATGCCGTGAAAATTTAGCAAGTCCAACCCGTACATTTC